CGCAAGGGAACTGAGACCAACGGTCGCAACTAAAGTCTCTGCATGGTCTGGATCCTCCACCAGTGGCAGGGCAACGACTGGTATTGGGAGGGCCCAGGTGTTGAGGAAGGCTGCGCACACGTCGGCATATTTGGGGCACCTGATGCTCCCCCCGCTCCATTTGCCCCCCGACGGCGCAACCGTCTCGCCCTCATTGCAGTCGTACCACGTATCGTCGCCAAGGAACTGCACCCTCAGCTTACCCCCACTGCACTGCGTGTTCACGCACACATCGCCAATCTCTTGGTAATCAAAAAGAAGCCCCTGCCCCTTTACGCACCGTGAGCTCGAGCCAATGAAGCTTCCAAGGAACTCATTAGGGTCACCGTTTAGACACTCATACGCCGCACGCTCAACAACAAACGGACAAAAATCCATATACTTCGATTCACCTCTACGTAGGGGGTCATCAAAGTACTGAAACTGCGGTGGAAGGGGCTTGTAGTGATTCTTTAGTTCACAGTACCCCAGAGAAAGACGATCATACGTGCATAGCAGCCCTTGTGTATTCGACGGCTGTTTACAGAACAACTCAGGGTAGTCGGTGTGGCCGTTGGTGAAGCACCTATTTTTCCAACAGTCCGCAGCCAGATTTGTTGCCCCACCGCAACGACTCCGCCATGTCGTAGTTAGCCTTGTACACACCCATGTCCTCAAATGCCGCAAGCGTGAATGCCGAGTAATAAGCGATCCGGCTCCCAGGACTCATCAACTCGTCCCGTGCGCTGAGTTCCTCCCAGTGCTGCAGACTAGCTCCTCCCCCACCCCCGTCCTCCAACTCCATGCCCTCAAGTGTGGGGCAGTTGTGGTACTTCCTCGCCAGCTCCTTCACCTTCGGTGAGGAAATTACCCACACATATTCTTTCCCACGCACATTGGGGATCTGGGAGACCATCTTGAACCACCAAAAACGATCGCTCAAAAAACCAAGAGCGTGCCCAATCTCGTGCACTGCAGTACCAACGTCTGCATGAGTGGCCCTTATGTACTTGGGGTTGAAGTTCACGGCGCCAGCGCACGGACGTCCATCCGTCAGAGTGGCGCAGTAAGATGCCCATGCAACGGTCCCCTCACTCACGAGAACGTCAACGTAGAGAACCATGTCGGCGCCGCTCACGCCGATGGTGTGGTGCCAGGAAGGGATGGTGAAATCGCTGCACGCCCCTATATCATCATCTGGCATGGGCATACGGATGGGATCCTGCATGGGCTTCACGGACAGACGATCGGTGTGCATCTTAATTGCAGTCGGGAGGAGTTGCTTCAAAACAATGTCCTTCTTCGCCTCCGTCAAAATGAAGTCTTCCGTGCATTCCTTCCAGTCGCCATTGACCAGGCGCCAATGCTTCCCTGGGAGGCAGTGCTTCCACTGATCGTCCATGTCCTTCGTAGACACTTTGATGCGGATCGGGGCCCACTCACTCTCCACGCCTTGTGCGGCGACGGTGTACGCCTGCATCGCGCCCTGTCCTCTGCGCGGCACATCACGCACCACCGCAGTCGCCGGCGGCCACCTCCCCATCGTCTCGCCAAACCCGCAGCGGTGCTTCCGGGTGGAATCGACAGCGAGGCACCCAGCGGCGCAACACACCAACATCAGCAAAAACACCGCCAGTGATAGAAACGGCGTGCTGCGGCGTGGCTGGCACATCGCCTGAATAAACTGTCTGTGTTGCTTCTGTTTGAGCATCAGCAGCGGCATTATTAGTGGTGGCAGTAGTAGCAGTAGTAGTGATGGCGCAGACCTTTCCCGCGGGGAATATATATATATATAAGAAAAAAGAGACAAAAGACTTACAACAGACATAAAACAACAAAATCAATCAAACTCTTCCAACTCGGTGTACACGGCACGAGGCACACGCTGCCCCCGCCTTAGCCAGGCCCTTCAGCGACCGGCATGTTTGCGTCGCACTGCCGCGGCGCAGCCGTCATGCGGCCAGTGTCGTCTGTCAGTTCCCCGCTCCTGTCGGACACTAACTGCAGCTGCAGGTACGCCTGCCACGCGTCTTGTCTGCCCCGCCCCCTTGCACCTTCGCCACAACCACACTGCAGCAACGCACCACGCCGCGACGTGAGCTCCACGCCCAATACCACGCGACAAACAAAATACAAACCGGGCACACTCCCGAGATGCCGTGATCCCGCCGCAACGTGTGCCGCACAATGCCCACCGCGTGACACACAAGGGCGTCGAGGCCCCGGCAGCCGCAGCACAGCACCGCGCCTCCCATGAGTGCCCAATCCGTAGCAGCGCGCCTCTGCAGAGCAAACCGCGCCGTGGGCTTCCGGAATGTGGTTCCGACGACTGCATAGAAGGTTCGTTCACACGCCAAGAGAAGAAGAACTGCGTCCCTGCCTGCAATCCCAATCACACTACTCACGTAGAGTCCATCCCCGCTGCGTCGAAACATTGACGCCGTCACCAGGAGCACTGGTGGCGCGAGTCGGTCCGCAACAACCCGCAACGGACAGAGACAAGTCTGATGTCAATGCGAAGGCAACGGCCTCCGGCACACACCCATCAATGCTGCCAAGCCCCTGTCGCAGCTCGCAGTATTTGGCGGCAGCGTTCCCCAAGATCGTGCTCAAAAATGCGCGGCTGCGGCACTCTGCGAGGCACTCCAAACCCCCGCACGCGCACCTCTCCGGTCGCCACGGA